CTTCCCATCTTGAGCCAACGATCTTTGAATCACTTTCTGGCGCAGAGCTGCAGATGTCTGAAGTTTTCCAGAGTTCTCTGCGCCCTTGAGAGAACTGATGATGATGTAGCATTCCTTAAGTTGCTCGACTGTCTCCAGGGTTTCCAAAAACTTTCAAGCTGTTGATAACCATTTTGCAAAATTCAGTGCTGACGTGTTCCTGATCTTACCAGGAGGGATCGTTGGAAGATTTTCAGACAACAAGCAGAGCTCTCACCCTCTCCTCAAATGGTTTTTAAGTGGTTTGCCGACTGAAATGTCATCTGGTCACACTAAATGCCCGCATACACAAGCAAAGACAACTTCATCACCACTGCCGCAAGGTGGCAGCTAGTTTAACCTGCCATTGTTTAAGGCATTCCAATTTCAGAGATGGTAACGGGAAAACATGAATCTTAGAGTAGATGAAATACAGTTTAGCAGACCTAAAGAAAATTCCCGAGCTTATTAACGAAAACCGGGAATCGGGAGGACACAATATTCTATGTTCCTCAACTCTCAGTGAAAGGAGTCAATGACTGTATTTTAACTTTTGAAATTGATAAATGTGTAAATAAGGTTCTAAGTTGGCTTTTTTTTTTTAAGTTTATTTATTTTGAGACAGAGACAGTGTGAGCAAGGGAGGGGAAGAGAGAGGGAGAGAGAGAATCCCAAGCAGCCTCCACGCTGCCAGCACAAAGCCCGACTCAGGGCTCAAACTCATCAAACTGTGAGATCATGACCTGAGATGAAACCAAGAGGGGGACATTTAACCGAACGAGCCACCCAGGCACCCCTAAGTTTGTTTTTTTTTAACTGTAAAAGTAATTACTAGTGATGAAATAGATTAGAAAGGTGAGTGGAATAAATTTCAAATATTACAAGAAACTTTTGAACTGGTTCAAAATATCAAACCAATACCAACTTTCTCAAAAAAATTATTGCATACTAAAGGAGCAGCCAAAATATACTTAATAATACAATAAAAATATACATTTAACAATGGAAAGAATACTATTCTCACTTTCTAACCAAGTGTATGAAAACTAGACAGTAACAAAAATACAAAAAAAAAAAAAATCCCTCAATCCCACAGCCCTTGGCTCAAAACAGATTAGTTAGAAAATAATCATAGTACCAAATTTTAAAGTCTTTGGGGATTGGCCTAATATGTACTCATTCCAAGAAATGTTTCTACTAGTTATAAAAGTGTTCATTAATGAACAAGAAAGAATGAATGTATTTCAAATACATAAGATGGAAAAAGAACATAAAACAAATCTTAGAAAAATGGAACATAAAATAAACTTCAATAAAATGAAAATTAGAAACTGCTGGTTGACTTATTTAAAAAGACTCTAGAGAAACCATTCACACACACAATTAAGGAAGAAAACAACTACAGTCACAGAGGAAACTGAAAGCATTCTGAGAATAATTCATAGATTCCTATGCAAGTAAATTTGAAAATCTGGATGAATGACTTTTTAGCAAAACATAAGTGACAGAGAGTAGACCCAGAAGGAGGACAAGGAATAAGTAGAGAATGTTGTGGGGGGAAAAAAGTGTTCCTCAAAAAGTGCCAAGCCTGGGCAATTCTGTGGGTGAGTTCTTTCAAAACTTTAGGGAACACATAAAGCTGACGTTTTAAATATCTTTCCAGGGCACCGAGGCCAATGGGAGTTGGCAGCTTGACCCACACCACATCCGTATGGGATTGTCAGGGACGTGGGCTGATAAATCCCGGCAGGATTAAGTGCATTACTAGCAATGTCAGCAGGCTTCAGTTATCTTGGCAAAGACGGGATGGAGCTTGAAGCAAATAAAATAGCAAGGGAGGGCAAAAGTTCTGCAGGTCTGGTGGGGGGGGTTATTGTGATTTTATTTGAGCAGAGCAACACCTTCTCACTAAATTCATATTTGCATTGAAAGTTGGTTGGTTTTATAGCTACATTTCTATTTTAATTTATAAATTTGTTTTGGTTTTCATATAAAAACCATAAGCAAGTAAGTTTATACTTCATATTATGTTTGTATGAATTTAAATAACAGCAAAGGAGAAAAAAGCCAATGCTGATCTCTGTGAGAATTTTTTTTTTTTCTTTTAAAAGAGGAGGATGTATTACTCAATTTCAGAAAGTCAGCTCTAGGGTGTTAGAATGAGGAAAGCCAGTGTCTTTCCTTTGAGTCTGGCTTTCTCTGCCTCTTCTCCACGCTGGAGAAGTAAGAGTTGGTGGGAAAAATCAGCACAAACATAAAAAAGAACTGAGGAGGACCTGGGCTGTGTTTGGTCGAGCCTGTTGGGCCCGTTCAGAAAAGTGAAGGGATTCCCTGTAGCTCCACATAGTCTAGTCCAGCTCATGCAACAGGGCTTCCACATGGGGATTTAGAGGCAAGCCTTGGAGTTATAAACAAAGTCGTTTAGTCCTGAGTCCCCTCCGCATGTGGACCATGAAAACCTACAGCAGCAGGACACAGCTGGCCACAGATCTGGGATCCTGGCTTTAGGCCATCTTTCCCTCTACTACCAGCATCCACATCCTGCTTCCCCTCAGGACTCGGGTCCTAGGGCCAGTGACAGAGCTGGAACTAGGTCACTGCAAGCCACACTTGTGGTCCAACCAAAGGCTATTCAGAAACTATGAAGAAAGCAGATTCAGCATATTAGCTGTAGGTCATAACTGCTTAGCAGAGAATCTAAAAATAAGAAGGGACTTCAGAAATCACTTAGGCCAACTTCTCTACCAATGACCGAACCTCTTCTAAAGCATCCTGATAGTACGATCTCTCCTGAAAACTTCAGAGATGGAGAATTTGCTAGTACTCTCTACCACTCTTCAGGAGGGACTTTTGTACTGTCGAAGAGAGTCATTTGTTAGGAAAGTCTTCATATAAGGAAAGAATAGCTGTCAACCTATAATTTTCACTATAGTTTGGTTCTTTAGAGTAGGAAAGACTACTTTTTCCACGTGACAAGTGTTCTTCTCCCCAGGTCATACACTTGACTCCAATAGCACCTGAGATGAAAGGATGTGGTTTCTGGACCTCTCACCTTCCAGTTATTCTCCTTTTAAAGCAGTAGTGCCCACAAAGTAGTACAGTGCATCCACACCAGAACCTCACATTTTAGTTCCAGCTCTTTCTCTCTCATTAACTGGTCAGTTAACACAAGTAAACCTATAATTACAGATAAAGTACTTGTAAATAAGAAAATCAAGCTCTGTGAACCAGTGACACCTACTTAATGTATTTAATGTAGGCAATAACTTTGCGAATAATGTTATAATTTTATCTGTTCCATAATATGATTCATATATTTCCCAAAAGTGAGGTCTTCCTATACTTGATTTCCTTACCTTTAAAATGAATTGCCACGAGGTGCCTGGGTGGCTCAGTCAGTTAAGCATCTGATTTCAGCTCAGGTCATGATCTCACAGGTCATGAGTTCGAGCCCCGCGTCGGGCTCTGTGCTGACAGCTCAGAGCCTGGAGCCTGGTTTGGATTCTGTGTCTCCCTCTCTCTCTGCCCCTCCACTGCTCATGCTCTCTCTCGTGCGTGCTCAAATATAAACATTAAAAAAATAAACAAATAAAATAAATTGCCATAATAGTGCAATCTCCTTCTTTGACACCATGGAGGGGTGTACTTATGATTATTCTCAGAGGTCAAGATCGACTGAAAAAGAAAGTCTTAAAAGTTGTTTGAATTTCTTGCCTCAGTACATTTTTTGTAATGAAAAGTATTCTATGTCCCATGTCCCATGACAGAGTGATGACTCAAGATATAGGTTTAATAATTATTTTATTTATAAATTTCCACCAACTCTTGCCTGTCATATTATTCCAGGTATCACAGATGGATTATATAACAGTATTTTCACATGTTCATCTGCATGAAAATTAGGGGAAAGAAGAGATGTACAGACTGCATGAAAATGACACCTTAAAGTTCACATCTATAGTGTAGTGTTCTGTAAACATAGGCCTGTGAGCTAGCTCTGTCCAATTGCCATCCAGCTGCATGATCGTGGGCAAGTCACTTCTGTTTTCTCACTTTTAAATGATCTATCATCTGGATTCTCTATCTCATACTCAATTGACTGCATGCAAAAATACCATGAAAATACCATGCACTTGAAGTATGAATATTACCATAAAGTACTTTACGTATTACTAGGCTTCCTCATTTTAGAGTAATACTATTCATAATCGGTGAAAGTCATTTGTTTGCAAGGTGATCTTTTTAAAAGGAATTCTTAGGCATTAGTCTTACTGACAATCTGTTATGATTCTGAACCAATGGCTTGATTCTTAGGGATAGGATATGATAGTAAGATATATAACAAACATGAGTTCTAATTGACAACTGATACAATGAAATGGCTCATTAGTTCTCTGAAATCTAATAATCTACGAGAAATGAGGTCAAATTGAGGGGAAAAAGTCCACCATGGCTTAAGTGACTTAAAATCCAAGTGAGAATCGTGGTAATTGGGAACAAACATTCACCTAAATTGAAGCTTATTTGTATAGAAAAATATATCAAAAAATAATCACTGAAAATCAAATTCCCTGTGAATTTTTAAAAATTAAAATTCTAACCTTTCAGTTCTGAAAAACTGCTTCTTCAGCAAAACATTCAGCATAGACTATATTGCCCTCAAATCAATGTTGTAGCCAGATAGATGGTAAGGTCCTTCCACCAAATTTTTTTAGAAAGAGTCACATTACTTTTTAATAGCAAAATGAGCTTCTCTCGGGCTTCAAAATTCAAGGGACAACCTAGGAGATATTTATAATGATAAATAAGGGAAGACTTTGGCATGCAGAGTAGAACTACATCATTATGAATATCTGGCAAGCTGATCTATATTTGTACATGTCTATGGTACAGCTAATGTGATTATTACAGGTTTTTTTGGAACCCTGGAGGACAAGGAAAATAACCTGGGAGATAACTTGTAACTTATCAAGTACCATTAATGCAGTCTCCATACTATTTATTACTCTCGTGTCAGTTCCTTAGAACTTTTTAGCCTTTGGGTCCTCTAAGCCATGGATGGAACTGTTTAGGGAGTGGTTACACATATGCAAAGCATTTTCTACTTCAGAAATATTCGTGTTTATCAAAGTGAAAAGATAAATATGACACATGCTGAAAGTGTGCAAAAAAGTTTCTGTGAGCAGCCAATTATTTGGGTACTAATTAGAAAGTATCTTCATCTGAGTCAATATCACTTTTTGGTTTCGTAAGCCTTTCCAGTTCTTCTCCATCCTAAAAAGAAATATGAAATCAGTAATTAATTAAAACAAAACTAGAAATGTAGCATTTGTAATGATTACTAAGGAGAAACCTTACTGGTAAATGTATTTCATTGAACTACAAATATAATCTAGTCAAATGAAATTCAATAAATACTTATGTTCTTAGAAAGTTCATTTTTGACACATAAGGAGATTCACAAAACATGGACAAGCAAGCATCTCAGGACTTGAATTTCAAAGTTGACCACAGGAACACAGTAAAGAGCGCCCTCTGCTGGTCTTCAAGGGAAATAACTAGTGGTTAAAGAAATAGGTACAGTATAAATAAGCTAGGCTACTATCTAAATTGTTACTTTTTTTTTTACCTATAAAGTAGGGCAAGCAGTGTTATCAGACCACTGGAAAAGAATGCATGACTTTTGAAACTATACTCTGGCTGAGATAAGGGCATTTGGGACCCACGCTTCTAATTTATTTTTTAAAGCACATTTATTTATTTTGAGAGAGTCAGCATGAAATGGGGAGGGACAGAGAAAGAGGGAGAGAGAATCTCAAGCAAGGCTCCACGCTGTCAGCACAGACCCTGAAGTGGGGCTCGAACCCATGAATCGTGAGATCATGACCTGAGCTGAAACCAGGAGTGGGACGCAAAACTGACTGAGCCACCCACGCGCTGCTGATTTTTTCACCTTAGGGATCTGTTGTGCCACCACCTCAGTGACATTGCTGATGGAAGCTCTGCCATGAACTCTAATGGGCAAGAGACTGTTTTCCCAAAGAGTGAAATGTTCATTTTGTGAAGTGCTTGGTATTTTGGGTGTACAGGAAAATTGTAAATTTAAAGCTAGAGGAGTTGGTTTCATCTTTTAAATATATATCTAACTCCTTACTTCAGTCTCCAAAAGATCACTGTTCATCTGTCAACACCATGCCTGACAGACCTTCCTAAAACAATTATAAGCAACTGGAAGAATAATGCTTATTCAGAATAACGACATAAGTAGGTTTCTAGAAAATATTTTTTTCTTACTTATGAAGATAGTTTTGAAAATCACCTTCATAGTGAGTTGAGGCCTACCCGTCTGGCACCGTGTGGTTTACAAGCAACTACAGATGGAAAATCAAGGAGCTTACATCTAACAAGACCTACTAATGTCGAAGATGGTCAACTTTTGTTGCCAATGAGGCATATTTCTCTGACTATGGCAGAGTAGAAAGAGTAATGGACTAGGAGTGAGACCTCATGGGTTGATCATAGTTTTTTACGTACTATCTATAACCCATTTAGCCTGTCCAAATCTGTTTATTCACTCCGCAAACCAGAAAGACTGGACAAGATAACCTGTGTGCTGTCTCCCAGCTCTGTGGCTCTATAATATTCTAAGATACAACTAACGGATAAGGTCCTCGAGGCTCTGATTCACACTCTTTCTCGACCACTGATGGCATTATCACGAGCCCTTGCACACGTAAGTCCAGTGAATGTTTGTTGAATAATTTTTAAAAGTCACAGAAATCCAATACACCCTTTGATAAATAAGCACTGATCGACTTCTTTTCTATGAGCATGAACTGAATCTGGGAAGAACAGGAGAAAGGCAGCATCTCCATAGACTTACCCCACTGGAGCGCTCCCAAAGGCTGCCACTTAGATCTCGGATCCTTTCTTGCCTAGGTGCATATTCCAGACCTTGAGGCTTGCTGGCTTTGTAAATAAATATGGAGAGAAGAACCGATGGTGCTTCTAAGAAAAACTCCAGGGAGGGCCTGAAGTCAAAGACCAGGACAGACACCGCTGTGATGATGACAGTGGTGACCTGGGCCATCAAGACGTGGAACATGTTATCTAGGAACTTCAGAATAAAAGCCACTGAGAGGCCCTGGAATGCAGTCACAAAAATAAGGGTGACTGAAAACACATTGTGGCCATAGAAAACCCCACAGTTCTTAATCTGTTCACTGTTACTGCTCTGAAGGACCAGTGTCAGTCCATTAAAAAGAATGCCAAAGAAATAGAGTTTGCTATTCTGTATGAAGATGCTTTCAGTGAGCTGGTTCCCTTCCTTCAATATCTTTTCATTATAGATATTGGCCATTGAGGAAATAAAACACTGGACTATAATAAGCACATGGCCCAAGCCGAGACGGAGGTGACTGAAAATCATAGCTGTGGTGTTCCACTTAGTTTCAGGAAAAGTCCATGCCTTTGCTGTGCAATTGACTTTTCCGGGACATTCGCTTCGGAAGAGAAGGCAGGAATTGGATGGGCTGAAGAAGGCATCATGATGAAATCCATGTCCTGCCAGGTTATGTTGTGAAGTTTCAGTCCCAGCAGTGAGAGCCACAATAGACAAGAACAGAATCAGGAGGGAAGCCCACTGTATCCAGTTCAGGTGCCTCCTGTTCAGAGAGGAAAAACAGGATATTACTACTTTTTCCCCTCCCTTCCCATATTGACTGTTTCTACTGAAAACTCTGACACGTAACTACTTGGCTGAATAAACTGTACCCAATTTTTGCTAGCATTCCCAATTCAAGTTCAAAGGAGACCTTTTGGTATCTCTGCTTCTTAAACTTGGTATTTTTATTCTTCTTTACAATAACTGTCTCTTAATACCATTGCCATTGTAAGTTTCCTTTTAACCTATAGGTTTAACTAAGTCTCTTTTCTACCTCCAGAGCTGATCTTAGATCTTTGTAAAATAACTTTTTATAAAGTAAGTTATGGCAGGGATTCTCAACCTGGTTTCCCTGAACCTGAATGTGATGAGCTTCAGAAATCTGTGAGTCCTTGCAGTGGGTGCCACATCTATACAGTTGAGTTCCTGTCTCTGCCCCTACCAATCCCATGAGACCCTTCAAAGCTCTGTCAAATTTCAAAGGTGTTCATGAACCAAAAAAGATTTAAGGAGGGAGCTAGCTCCTAGATCCATGGCCTAATCATAAACCATTTTATAGCAAACTCCTGTTTGGGAAGGCAAGGAAAAATATTTTTAGTGTTTCAGTTTACAAAGTCTTAACAATGCTTTATTTCTTTATTTATTTTGTCTAACCACAAGCTTGTGTAATATAAATGACACACATTATTGTCAATCTATTTTGTGGGTTTATTTAGTTCAACAGACATTTAGTAAGCAGCTGCTGTGTGCCTGGGGAGATAAAGAAGACTTGATCTCCATTCCCAAGGAATTTTAATAAGAGAAGAGCCATGAAACTAAGTAATGACAATATAATGTGTGACAAGTGATACACAGAACAATTGGGGTACAACAGGGGAGGGAACACTTAAATATGCAAATGGAGTCAAGTATTGTTTCCAAGACAAAAGGACACTTGAGTTGACACATGAAAAATAAACTGAAATTTGCCACATGAAAAGGGAGTTGGTGATATATCCAGGCAAAGGGAAGAGTCCATAAAAAGGCAACAAGAATGTACAATGTTAACTAAGAAAAGAGGAGTAGCTGACTCAGATTGGGGTAGTCAAGGAATAAAATCTTCAAGTTTAAAGATCTATCAGGTGAAGGAGAGGGCGCTCGTGCGTGCGTGCGCGCGGCAGAAGCAAAGGCAGAAGTGTAAAGCAACAGGTAAGAAATAGAAGTTACAAGATTTTGGAGCATTTACTGAACGCCTACCATGGATCAGCAATTTCTGTTCCAAGGAAGGACACAGTACTTTAAGACTGACTTCCCTAAGGTCATGTACCTACAAAAGAGCAAAGAAGGGATCTGAGTGATGGTCTGCATGTTTCTTCCTGGACCAATGACCCTCTTAAGTATAATGAGTTTTCAAGGTTCATATACAGGCAGATGTGTCTGATTTCACTAATGCTTCCATAGAGCTTCATGAGTGGAGACTGATAAATGCATAGACCAGCCTAGATAGCAGCACCATGTGCACAGTATCATGCTTTCTCATGTACATACTTTCAAAAAGCCAGATCTAGCATTTAGTGATGGGGCTAGCATAGCCCGGAAGGTCCAAAATTGTGAACTAGTCACATAAATTTCTAAAGGTGTAGCTGGTACACATTAAGTGGAAGAAACCAAATTGATTGAAGACAGGAAAGACAGATGAAAAGTATATGCCCAATTTATAAATATCATCATGTAACTAATTATTGGACATCCAGACAAATGAGGCAATAACAATCTATAATTCCTATAGAAGTTTTCAATTCTGATAGCTGTAGACTTTCCACTAACATGGACATTGAGAAAAAAATAATCTAATTAAACAGTCTTAAACAAGTTAATCAGTACCACTGCAAACATTCATTCAAGGTAATGTTCTAGAAGGTAAAAATTATTAAGGGTTAGGCTGAAAATGGTAGATTTTCAGCAAAGAAAATAAAGCTTAATAAATTATCCCATAAAGTCAGCTGAGGATAGGTGCTCTTACAAATGACAGTGCGTGACAGTTTGTTCCTCAGTTTAGTGGATGAGACAGTAAAAAACTCACCTGATCCCTCCACTGCCCCAGTAAACCACCTGTAAACTGTTTGGATTGCTGCTCAGAGTGGAACATGTACAGCCAGAAGGCCCCTCTACCTGAGGGCCTCGACTCCAAATGAACTGCTTGCCCACAGAGAGACCTGGTTCCTATGTTTTTGCCAGTGACCTCATTATTGTAATTAGATATTTTAATGATTACATAAATGACAAATTATGAGTGAAGGAAAAGGACTGCTGTTTTTATGAAAAGTTGAATGCTCTGGGAAAATTAATTAAAGGCACACTACTCACAAGATAATCTGCCTTCAAACTGGGTACAGGTGAGCTAATTTTAAGATTAGGAAATAAAAATCTACAACAATCTACTTTAAAAGTATTTTGAAGAGCTTGCTCAATTTTTTTTTTTTTTTTTTTTTTAGTTTATTTATTCATTTTGAGAAAGACAGAGAGAGTGAGCAGGGGAGGGGCAGAGAGAGAGGGAGAGAATCCCAAGCAGGCTTCACACTGTCAGCATGGAGACCAATGTGGGGCTCAAACTCACAAAACATGAGATCATGACCTGAGCTGAAGCCAAGAGTCGGACACTTAACCGACTGAGCCACCCAGGCACCCCAAGAGCTTGCTCTATTTTAAAGAAACTAGAACCAGGAAGCTTGTATGATGTAGATTGAATGTAGCTTCAAGAAAGAAGCCAGAGCACTTGGGTGGCTCAGTAAGTTAAGCATCCAACTCTTGATTTTGGCTCAGGTCACGATCTCAGGGTTGTGAGACAGAACCCCCTTCCCCCAGCCTGCTTGGGATTCTCCCTCTCTTCCTATTGCCCTCCCCATGCTTGCATGTGCACATGCTCGCTCTTTCTCTCTCTCTCTCTCTCTCTCTCTCTCAAAATAAATAAATAAACATTTAAAAAGAAAGAAGCTAAAACACTCCAATCAGCAAATCCCACACATTCTCAAAGGCCTGAGCTCTTCAGAAGAATGATGAATGGACATTTACATATCTTAAACTGTTTAAAGTATGTATTTTTAAAACATGATTCACCACTTTGAGTACTCTTAGTAACTCAACAATTAAATCCAGATTGTATCAGATAAGAGCATCCCTACCAAATTTGATGATAGTAAAACAGGGCACCACATGAAAATAATTAAATGGAAAGACTCAGATGACTTTTTAAAACAAAATTGTACACATTTCTTAGTAGCACAGAGTGACCAGTAGCAGATTTATAATGAGAAATTATAAAAAAGAATTATCAAATGAATGATTTTGGAGAAATGCTTGTACTACCGAGTGGCACTGCTATTTCTCAGCTGATTTTGAAGAGTAAATGTTACCATAACTTCTAAGACACCAATCATCTGTGCCAAAATGTTCTTCATTGATTTTTCCCCCAACAGCTTTCCTCTGAAGATATCAGAGAAACGTATATACATTTTTTTAGACAAAAATGGTTACCTTTTGCCCCCAGTTCTCAATGTTCAGGTTGATACTACCATTTCCTAAAGACTAATTAAACAATATTATACAACTTCACCAAGCCTTAAACAGCAAGCCAGCAAGGCTTTGAGGGATAACACCTGTGACCAGTCTCCACTGTGGACCAGTGGCTATTCCTCAAAGAGCAAATGCACACATTCACATGGGGTTTCTCTAGAACATATGGTAAGACATTTGGATGGTGATCTTTTGTGTACCGCTTCCAAATTCTTCCAGGTAATTCTTGCATTAGTCACTGGGCTTCTTTTTCCCTACCTTGTAGCCTTATACTATTTGTCTGCATGGGAAAGGTATTTGGAGGCTCCGCTAGAGTCAAGTATAAGACAATGGCTTTCATATTCATATTCACCATGAAAAATGAGTTACTTATGGCAAACACATTAAGAATATGACAGAACTCGGGGCGCCTGGGTGGCTCAGTCGGTTAGGCGGCCGACCTCGGCTCAGGTCATGATCTCGCGGTCCGTGAGTTCGAGCCCCGCGTCGGGCTCTGTGCTGACAGCTCAGAGCCTGAAGCCTGTTTCGGATTCTGTGTCTCCCTCTCTCTGGCCCTCCCCTGTTCATGCTCTATCTCTCTCTGTCTCAAAAATAAATTAAAAAAAAAAAAAACGTTAAAAAAAAAAAAAAAGAATATGACAGAACTCAAGCTTCTACTCCTGGGTCAAAACTTTATTGCTAAGGGCAAAAGAAGAGTAGACTGAATAACAAAAACCAAACAAACAATATATACCACCACCAACAAAAAGATCAAAATAGAACAAAGCTGATTTTAAAATATAATAATAGGGGCGCTTGGGTGATTCAGTCGGTTGAGTGTCCGACTCGTGGGATCAAGCCCTGCATCAGGCTCCCTGCTGAGTGTGAAACCCCCTTAAGATTTTCTCTCTCTCTCACTCTCACTGCCCCTCTGCCCTGCTTGTACATTCACTCTCTCTCTCTCTCTGAAAATAAAAAAGAAATTTTAATTAAGAAATAATAAAATAAAATAAACTGTAATAATAGATAATACAGTACTTGGAAGACATTCTCATAAAAGACAGTATTAATTATATTATTTTAGCACTATTAAGAGTAGCTTCGGTGCTAATTTGTGACTCAAATTAAGACTCCCTTTGGGAGCTAAGTTAGTGCTTGTAAAAATAGTAAAAAAAATAAATGATTTTATTGTTTGTTTAATATAAATAACTTCAAAGGATTCAAAACAGAGAGATATTAACAACAAAGCAAACACATGTCTAAGAATATTACTGTTCTATTAAGAGGTAAAATATGTGAAAAAGCTTTTTGGAACTTTAGTTCATAATGTTAATTATTATTAAAACTAGCAATAATATAATACTTATTATAACTAATAGTATCATAAAAGCAAATATTTAAAGTTTAAGTATAACTAGATTTAGATTACACTAGGAATTAATTTCCTTTTCCCCTTTCCTTCCTTCCATCCATCCATCCATCCTTTAGAGAGAGAGAGACAGAGAGAAAGAGAGAATCCCAAGCAGGCTCCATGCTCTCAGCACACGGTCCAAAGCAGGGCTCATCTCATGAACTGTGAGATCACAACATGAGCTGAAATCGAGTCAGACACTTAACTGATTGAGCCACAGGCACCCTTAACTTTCCTAATACAAATAGTTAAATGCTTAAAAATTTAATGGGCCATCTCTGCCCATATATTAGCTCTCTCAGCCTGACAGGGGCAGTTCTAGTTGGTCTCTGCCTCTAACCCTGCCACCCTACATACTCCCTTCTCCATGGTCAAAACCACCTATAAATGCTGCAAAATACCCAGTGGCTCTGTGCACAGACACCGCTTGGAACAAATCTACTTATGAATGGGGACAATAACTCCTACCTCCTGGGGTTGTTGTGGGGGTTAAGTCTAGATAGGCGAAAGGCCCTCGGATCAGCCCTTGGCTCTGAGGAGTCTTTGGTGTGATTATCTTGTCACTGTCAGCTGAAAGCCTGCTTGCACTGTTGTCTACCAACCAGTAAGACCAGTCCTGGATAAGGCCTGAGAGGCCCTTCACCTCAACCTCAGAGCCACAGCTCAGGCTCTGGAGTAAACTTATAAAAAACAAAAACAAATAAAAAAAAA